ACACACACACACACACACACACACACACACACACACACACACACACAATGTGGGCCTCTATAAGCATATCAGCAACAATCTGAAGTCAATGTTTGTGCAATTTCCTTTTAAATATTCCCAAACAGCTAAATTCTGGCAAAAGATTAGGAAAGCTGCCTATTCAGATGGTTTTTGGTTGTTGCTAAAATCCATACTGCCAACTCTCTTTTTTGTTGAGGGTCTGGCAAACTAGGCAATCTAACTAGTTATTCTAAAAACATGTTTCAATTTAACTCATGATTGAAATACAACTCCTTCAACTTAGAATGGTGGGGAAAGGGTCATAACCCAATAAGACATTCTTCAGTAGCTTGTAACACACAATTAAAGAGGGGAAAAAAGGATGTTTCCCACTCAATCCAGTAAATTATGACTCTTTATCATTACAAAATACATTTCACATCAGCACCATGAAAATCAGAGAACAGGAAGTACTTACGACTGACAGGCAAAAGACATGCCAAAGATAGGAATGCAACGAAAAATGCCCTCCCAACGCGTGTAACTAACCCGATCCAGCCACTGCCCGCTGAAAAGGCCATGTTTGAGAGAGGACAGTACTATCTGCAGCCAAGGAAAAGTAAGAAGCATTAAGATTGTAATATAAATAAAATCTCAAAATCAAATCCCCCAGTGAATTAATGACAGGATGCTAATACTGATAATGCTGTGACCAAGGCAAGAGAATGCAGCAGCTCTTAGACTGGTGCAAACATTTAGTGTCCTCTGGATTTCTCACTGAATTTCACATTTTACATTTCCTCTTGCTTCTTTGCTTGACCCATTCTAATATTTCTATAGGTTCATTTATTCTTACAAAATAGGCAGTACTGGCCTTCTGGAAGCTGGGATGCATTTTCACTTGTTCAGTGCCACCACAAACCATTAACTACATCTATACCACAACATTAGAATGTTTTTTACTAGAATTGTGCTCAGCTGCTCAGAGTTTTCCTTAATACATCCAAGCAGCTGTCCACATAAGGGGTCACTTAAAGCAGACAAAAGAATCCCTGCCCAATCCTTGGTATCACTTTAGTTATGTGGGTGGCAGAGAAAGATGTTCCCAAATATTGGCACATTCTTCAATAATTCTGTACTGTGCCAAAAATGTGCCTCAGACAACCAAGTACCATTTAAAAGATGAAAATTCACCAAAAACAAGGTTATCTAAAGTTAAGGAGGTAACTGGAAAAGTGACATACATGGTTACTATAACTGGTCTGTCAAATAGTTGAATTAAGGGACACTGGCCTTTTCTTCTATTGTTTAAAAAAAAAAAAACTAATGTCAGTTAATACATAAAAAGGTTATATGTAGTGAATGAAAAACCAATGTAAAAAAGCCTTGAGGAACTCTATTCACTTAATGTGCCATTTCCTAATTTTTTAGGCAAGTTTCAATACTTAATATGTCAGATGCTAATCTGTGATCTAGAGGCTACATCTGGTACCCCCAGGTCACCTGTTCGGGTTGAGTGAGGCAGGCCAAGTAAAAGGTTTGGCTCAACTCTCAGGCTTTGCTCACCATGTAAGGGGACTTACTGAGTGCCTTATACAAAAGGGAGGAGCCAAAGTGGTATAATGGAAGACGGTTTCTGCTTTAAAACATTTAAGGTTGGTTCACCCTGATGCTGCCAGAACATCCAGGATGTCCAGGAACATGGTGCTCTCTGAAGCTCTAAAGGAGGGGTTCTTAACCTTTTTGGTGTCATGGGCCCTTTGACAGTCTGTTAAAATCTATGGGTCTCTTCTCAGAATAACATTATTAAATGCATAAAATTAAATTCACAGTATCAGAAGAGAAACCAACTATATTAAAATAAAGATGCAATTGTTTCCTATTTTAAATTCATGGGCTCCCTGAAATCTGAAGAGATCTCCATAGACTCCTTGGGATTCTATGGATGCCAGGTTAAGAACCTCTGCTCTAAAACAATCTAAGACCTTCTAAGTATTAACTACTTACCATCTGATTGGCAGCTGACTGGCAATCATAAATACAAAATAAAACCTCATCTCCAAAATGCACACTTTATTCTTTAAAGATAAAATATAATCAAATCAAAGTAGTCACATGCACATCCCCAAATCATAGATGACTTGTTCCTCTGGTGCTCCATTCCAAACTAATCGCACCTGTTTTTACCAGGAAGCACACAACAGAGTGCTTCTCAGAGAAGCCCTCAAGATTTCCATTTTCTCTCATCATGAGAAGATGGGAGAGGCACAATATGCCATAATAATTTCACTTTTAATTTCAGCAAGATCCTACACAGTAGGTAGCTGGTGGCAAGAACATGCCTTGGAAATGATCCATTCCTGCTCCCTGACAGTGACATACTGAGTATCTAGTCAGAGGCCAAAGTAGTCGCTAAGGTATTCTTAAAGGGTCAATTGATTTGAAGCCAATGGTTTATTTAGAAAATACTCTTAGCTAAGTAACTACATATTACAATTGGTAACTAGTATTACAACTCCTTTCCTCGCTACCTATGGCATATTAACAAAACCACCCAAGAGTTACAAATACTCACCACAAACATGAACACTGTGTAGAAGATGAGAGCCATGGCACTGAAGGACTGTATGGAAGCCATCATGTTCCTCTGGAGGCTCAGTGGAAGGACAATGCACAAAGAGACAACAAAGAGTAGGAATATCCGGAAGCCACCCGTCACCTGGGAATAAACGAAAAACAGAAACGCTGATTTCATCAATTTGGCCTTCAAGGGGTCTTGATACACCAGAGAAATCTAGTATATCAGAGGACACAGTAAAGCAGGTTAAAGGAAATGGCCCAAAGCAAAAAGGCAATTTTTCCACTACCACTTAATAGCATAGAAGGAAGGCTATTTCTGTGATGAACCTATCTAGTCACTGGGTGCCACTGTTGCTCTATGGAGGGACTGCCAAGGACACTAAAAGCAGAAACTTGATAACAGGAGGAGGAGAGGAGAAGCTAATACAAACTGAGAATCTATGAATATTTTTTAGCATTATTAAAGCTACCATGGTTCAGAAAAGATGGAAGTCTTGAAATTCTGGTCCATAAAATTAATCAAAAACCTCAAGATTGCTATTTATTATAGCAAAAATCCCAAGGGCCTAGAAATATTTAATACTAATTTGGCTGCAACTATAATACTTTTTCTAACTTCACAATTCCTTAATCAATCAATAAGTATTTATTAAACACCTACTACGTGCTAGGCAATTAGAACTTACTAGCATCAAGGCAGCATAGATATGAATCACATCAAGATCCTCTAAAATGTCTTTTCTCAATCCCAAATATCTGCAATATTTACTCCTGGACTTATCCGATAGGGGTAGAAGAAAGAATCATAGGCCTTATACAGAAAACCTGGGGGGCAGCGCAGTGGATAGAGCTCCAGCCTTGGAGTCAGGAAGACCTACGTTCACAAATCGGCCTCAGATATTTGACACTTACTAGCCGTGTGACCCTGGTCAAGTCACTTAACCCCAATTGCATCACCAAAAAGCAAAAAATAAAAATAAAATAAAAATAAAAAATAAAAGAAGAAAACCTGAACATTCCAATGTAGGGTTCAAACATCTATAAGACAAAAGTTAGGGGAATGGAATCATTCATTGTCTCATAAATATCTTCTTTTGTGTAACAAGGATATGTAGTGGAAATTAAGAGAAAATAGTGGTTGCCTGGAATTTCCTCTTCTCTAATTACCAGGGAATTAGGAAAACTTTAGCAAATAATCAATCAATCAATCAACAAGCATTAATTAAATGCCTCCTATGCGCCAGATACTTTGCTGTGTATTGAAGATACAAAAACAAAAAACGAAACAGTCACTGCTCTCAGAGAGTTCACATTATATTGGTGGAAACAATATGTGTACATACAATGTATATATGTATATATATATATATACACACACACATATATACATACAATGTGTATATAAATAAGGATATACATATATAAAATAAATATAAAGTAAATTTGGAGAAGGGGCACTAGCAGCTAGGGGGAATCAGGAAAAGCTTCATGCAGAAGAAGTGTCACGAGCAGAACTTTGAAGGAAACAAGGTAAAGGTGAGTGGGAGTGCATTTCAGGCATGGAGGACAGTTAGTGCAAAGCTGAGGAGATGAGAAACAGGGTGTCATATGTGAGGAACAGTGAGAAGGAAAACTTGGATGTAGAGTGTAGCAAGGGGAATAATGTCTAATAAGGTTGGAAAGGCCGGTTAGGGTCAGGTTGTGAAGGGATTTAAAAGCTAAACGGGGATTTATATTTGATCCTAGAGGCAACAGGGAGCCATTGGAGTTTTACTAAGTAGGGAAGTGACATAGTCAAATATTCACTTTAGGAAAATCACCTTGTCAGCTATTTGGAAAAATGTATTGCAGAGAGGAGAAACTTAAGGCAGAGACCAAGTAAGAGGCTCTTATAATAGTTCAGGAGGTGATAAGGGCCTCAACTAGGGCTGTGGTCATGTGAGGAGAAAGAAGGGGCCAAATTTGAGAGATATTGTAGAGGTAGAAACAATGATTAGCAACTAACAGGAGATGTGGAATGAGGGAGAATGAGGAGTCAAGGATGAAGCAGATGAAGAATAGGTAGTGAATGCTTTGGAGGTAGAATTAATCTGCTCGAGATTTTTACATGAAATAAAAATGTTTTCATTCTGAAATTGTTTGCAAACTGTGGATAGCCACACTAAAAACTTAAGAATAGAGACCATCCTTAACCACAGAGGCATACCATAAGTTTCTCTTAAATTATACAAATTTAGCACTTTCTGTTAGTTACAGTAATTACTCCTTCCATGTAAGGCAGTGCTGTCAAAGAAATGGGGACCACCAATCCATACATAAGGATACCTGTAGGCCACATATTAACAGTTTTAAAATATAATGTTATTTACATTTTATTGTATTTTAGCTATTTTGTTAAATATTTTCCAATTACAATTTAACATAGTTCCATATGATTGACATTTGATATAAGGAATAACCTCTACTTGTGTCATTTTTATCAATTTCTTCTTTGTTACATAGTCAAAGTATCACTTGGTAGTCACATTTCAAGAGATAAAAACAATCAGATGCAAACTGTTGGCTAATACTTAGAATACTAAGAATTATACCACAGCCAGAGAAGTTTTTAAAATCATTTTGACCACGAAGCTAATCACATCCTCAAATCAACCTAACAGCAGAACAGGAATGAAGCACCGATTTTACAGGTAAGGAAACTGGGTGATGCACAAATGAATTAATTCATCCAAGGTCACATCAGAGTTATGGCAAAAAAAAGACCCTACATAGTTTCAGGCACTGTCATCCTAGTTCTGTTAGACATAAATTTTCCAAAATGAATTAAATAAACTGCAACATGAGTTTAAATTCAAGCAAATTGAAATGTCTGAAAATAAATTTACCTCAAATCCAAGCAATCGAGCAAAGAAGTTTGACCCCAAATCACCAATGACAACATAGAAGGCAATGCAGGTTCCCAACATCAGCCCAATCATACTATAAAGACAGAAAATGGGGGTTTTAAATTGTGTTTTTAAAAGATTCCATTGCCTCATCACAATCAAAGCCATATCACCCTAGCAGAAAATCAGATTGAGCTCAGATTTCTATGAAAAGAATAGTGTGCTGTGAACCCTATACACATAGTACTACTGACATGTGACTTTATTCAAAGCTTAGATTTAATGAAAGATGCAATTTAGAAAGTCCAACAGTTTACAGGATGTGGATATGTTTTGTATGGTTCACCATTTTACTAAGACTGAATATTGAATAACACTAAACCTTTCTTTATGTAGTATTATATTTTTCTCTCCACAGGAGGCTTCTAAAAGTTCTTTCAGGTACTATAAAAATGCATTGCAATGTTAGACAAGTTAAAAGAATAATCGACTACTTTCTCAAAAGGGCTGCTCTCTATAATTTGCAATTTGCTAATTAAGAATCCTGAGTGCATTTTTTCCCAGAAATTTTACCATCTGACAAAATTGTATTCCAAAGGAACAAAAGAAAAACATAGCCTTTTCTATTTAATGCCTCCTTTAAGTGGTCACACATTTGGTAATTTACCTTTTAGAGAACTGTACTCGATGGTTAACTCTAGCTGAGGAAGTTTTATTTTGTGGCATTAAAAAACTTTTCCTTTTTTCTTCATTTTTATCAGTAAAACAAATGCTTTCAAACTTGATTCTAAGCATTTAAAGAATAAAAGCTCAACTTTCACCTATTTCTTAAGTAGCAACTTTTTGGAGATATATTTATAAAAACTTGGCGCAAATTCCACAAACCAAAAATATTATTCCTTCTATAACAATTTTTGCTTCTAAGGACAGGTGAGGCAGGGAGGGAAAGGAAGGATATGGGAGAAATCAATAAGCAAAGTACACAGGTTACCTGGTCTCCACCAGCATTTTTCCTGCTTTTCCATAGGCATGAAATGCTTGGATTTAAAAAAAAAAAAGTGAAACATGATTTAGATTATTCCACATGTATCAGTAAGAAATTATTGATAACACATAGGGTAATTTTGAGTCTCACAGAAATCCACTAGTTTGGGATTTCTAGGTGTCTGAGGGACTTTGTTTCTTTCTCTCTTTTTTTTTTTTTTTGGACATACTATCCACAAATCAAAACCACATAAAAAAGAAAAAAAAAGAACAAAGCAAGGGACAGACACAAAGCAGGTTCTTTTTTCATTCTTAAAAAAAGAAAACAAAAGTCATTGCAAAGTAGCAGTTTCCCACACATGGCAACCATTAAAAGAAAATCTGCTTGGAATAGAAAATATGCATGTATAGATGCTGTGTGGCCAAAAAAAAAAAAAAAAAAAGGCACTGCAGTGCAAAATTTCAATCAGATTTCTTTTTTTTCCTTTGTAGCCTATTATAACTGCCTGATGTTGTTTAGCAAAACTCAGATGGTGCCCAGAATGTTCAGTCCCATCACCAGAATCCCCAGCTTTTACAGCCCACACCAAAAGAATTTTTATTCCAATGCTTTTATTTTTAATCCTTTGGTCAGAGTTTATAGCAGAAAATGAAGAGTATCCTTTCCATTGCTTCATTTGGAGAAGGGAAAAGACCCAGAAAGCTCATGTTTGTATTTTTAAAGATAGATTCCTGAAGAAGTAGGCAACACATTTCATTTCTGTGTGTTTTATTAACATATATCTCATCCCAGAATCAATTCTCTGTCATTTACCTTAGTACAAATCACATGGTTTAAAAAGAGCTTGGCTTGCCTTCCTGATGATGGTATGTGTTCAAGTAGCTGAGAAATTTAAAATTGTTCACTTCAGCAAGTTTCTCCTGTGACCTTAACAGCTCTATTATAATCTCACTGTTTCCTGATGATCAGTCTTTAAAAGAGGGAAAAGTCAAGGTCTCTGAGGAAGAGACCAAAAGAAGAAAGTTGGTGAATGGAAAGGAAAGGAAACAGCAGCTTCTACCACGGTCAGCTGCCCAGATTTCCTGATCCTCTTTTTCCTCCCTTACCACAAAGAGCAGGCCCCTAGAGAAGAAAGCAGGAAATGAACAAGCTTATTTCCTGTGAAGAGGCCTGGAAAACAGTTCTCTCTTCTTTTTGAGAAACTGTTTAGAAAACAAGACATTTGGAATCTGGTTTGTAAGGTGTTGGCTAAAAGGCAGAAAAGACCAGGATTGAGCAAAGGTTTTTGCTTTGGCCTTGAAGAAAAGAAACAAACTTTTTCAGAAATATACTAAAATTGTTTTCCAAAAGATTCTCACCGCCTTAGAACTAGCTAATAAAGCTTTTGCACATCAGGCAGAAATCTAAATACAATGAAGTAATGATAATGCTAATGTTAACCAAGGGACCTTAATTTTTTTTTAAATCCAAGATCTACTATCAGATTGACATATTAGTCAATGCCCAAAGGTCAGCTGACTGCCAAGGAGGAAAATAGTTTTAAGTTGAAGAACTTACAACTATAATGAATAAATCAGCAACTTTTCTGAATACAAGTTTCAATGTCCCAAACCAAGTTGTTCTCAAGGCCCTAGATGGTTTTTGTTCCTTTTCTAGAGGCCAGGACAGCAGTTCCCTAGATGAGATTTTACAATACAATCCAAGTCAGTAAAGCTGGCCCTAAGAAAAGTCAGGAATAGTGTTTGCATGGGAGAAAAACAGGAAAATCCAAAAAGTATTTTTTTCCAGGAAGTCTTCCAGGAGTCAGTGTCACTCATTAAATGACTAGACTGGTACTCTAGCATAGTCAAATAGCTGAAGAAAAACACGGCCAACCCAGGGCAAAATTGTGAAGATAGAGAAGTTTGTCTCAGGTTTCCTCAACCTCTCTTTTCTGTCTCCTTTTATTCATCTCAGTGGCTGCAATTCCCTGCTCCTATCCTTCACTCTATCAGTCACCTAATACGCTCTCTGCTCTTTAACCTTTCCCCTACCTATAAAAGTAATTGATCATTTATAATAATGATTAAGTTTCAATGTGTTATGTCTCCAAGGCAAGCAGGTAGGGATATAGTTGGGGGGGACAGGGGAACTATACCTTTAATCATACTGACTTTCAATGTTGATTCTAAAAGCAAACAAGTCTTGTGGTGGAGAGGGGGAAGAGGGTAATGGAAGATGTCTGGATGGCTGCTAGTCTCTAGATGCTTTGGTGTCTGTAGTTCTTCTTACAAGCTTGATCCCCAAACTCACTCTCAGCCCCTCTCTGGAGAAGAACTCTGGAATTGATTGTGAGACATGGGAGATGCTGGTACAGGACTGCCCAGCATGGTGTGCCTGCATCAAATAAGGCGCTGTGCTCCATGAGCAAAGCAGGCCCCAAAGAAACATGAGATGCACAAATTTAGAGACATCTCCACTCCAAATGGTCACATGGACTATTTTGGGGCCGACCTGTGGTAGAGCTTTCTGAGCTCATATTGATCTGATCAGCCACAGTCAACATACTGTACCGTGACCCCGACATAGCGACGACATTTTGGTCATCTTCCAGCACAAAGGACAACATGTGTGAGCCTATTCTTCTCATGTCTTCTCTTATCTCCCCCCTTTCCCTCTCTTGGTCACAGCAAGATCATTAGTCTGTCCTCTTCCCTCCAACAGATCCTCCACTCCACACAGCCGTGTGAGCCAGTTTTTGCTGGCTCTCACCAGCACCTCTGTAACAGTCAGGACACACAGTATGTAGGTGATGGGGAACTCCAAGGACTACTGATCTCCCAGGGAGACGAATGCCCTAAGACAGTCCTGGAGCCTCAAACCTAAACTGCTGTCTGGAAGAAAGGGAGAAATGAGGTTATAGGAACCCTACCTGTTGGAAAGTCGGATCCAGACCCTTTATCTTTTACCTGTGAACATCAACAGGTGTGAAAAAGATTAAACTGTAACTGACAACTATCACCGGAGGCAGCATGGTAGAATGCTTGATTTGAAGATTTGGATTCAAATTCTGCCTCTGATGCTTATTAGCTGTGTAAGCCTGGCTGAGAAAACCATATAATCTCTCAGCCTCAGTTTCCTCATCTGCAAAATGAGGATGATAACAGCACCTACTTCATTGGGTTGCTGAGAAGATCAAACTTGAAAATACATAAAATGCTTTTCAAAACTTAAAAATACTATATAAATGAAAATGTTATTAGGCTAATTATAGATACTAGCGAATAATAGTTCACATCTATACAGCCCTTTGTAAATTACAAAGGACTAAGGTAATCAAGCTGTCCCAATCTCCCTAGCAGGCTAACCCTGTGAGACCTAATAAAACTTTCTGGCATCTCAGAATTGAGACATCTTGCTAGGTATCAAAGACATTACCTAAGGCAGGTGTTTAGCTTCTAGTTAGCACATCCAGTCAAATTCCCTCTTTGCAATGACAAATTCCATTATTCCTAATTTAGAGATAAGGAAATCGAGGCTCAGAGTGACATGACTTGATCAGGGTCAGGGCTGAGGCCCAAACCTAGGTTATCTAACTATAGTTAAGTTCAGGGTTCTATCTGATTTCACTAGGTGAAAGTTAATCATTTCCACTGACTACTTTTGCCTGATTACTATGAAATATGAGAGGCAGCACATCTTTGTGGGTAGAGAATCCACCTGGCAGGCCCTGAAATTGAGACGGCATAAGACCCTGTGTAAGTGACTTAACTTCTCAGTATTCCAGGCAACTCTCTAGGAGAAGGGTGATTACAGTGGGTTGAGCTGTAGAGGCAGGGGAAGTTTTCGAACTTGGGAGTTAGTTCCCTGTGTTAATAAAATTACAGGTCCAACCTCTAACCCTATTATGTGATACAACAATGACTACATGCATTAAATGCTGTGTATAAGTTTTGCATGGTTGTATTACTAAGCTACGTTTGTAGATGACCAGCCTTTGTTTGTCATCATGTGGTAGCAATTTAGAGGAGACACTGGTGCTGAATGTGCTGCCAAAAGTATGCCATTCGAGATAAGGCCCACCTCACACAACTCTGGGTCATGCTCGATGAATACTGTGGAATTCTGGAACTCAGAACAATTTCATCTGGGTCATTCTACATCGAAACTAGGTTGGGTTTGATCGTTTTCTGGAAAAAAAAAATGGAAAGTCTACATAAAATTAGGATGGGCAGGTATGAATTTTAATAAAAATATAAAGTATGATGACCCATAATCTGAAAAAAAAATTGAAAAAACCAAAATGCTTTAGGTTGGCAAAGTTCACTGCCAATCAAATGCTGCATCACTGTGATAGTGGTATTATGGGAGAGTGATTATGGTAAAGTCTATAAGCTAATACATCTCTGGAACCCAGCTACAAGGCTATATTAAACCTACTCAAATTTAACATCTCAGGACACTTTATCAAGTTGCCTTGTATCTTTCCAAACTGCCAGATACTCCCACAGAATCAGCTACAAGACTGAAAGGATCTCCTGCAGATGTACTAGTGTACAAGTAACTAATGACAAAGACTAGCTGTTCAACAGTACTGAACCTGGATGTATTAGGAAACAGCATAAGAAGGTTACCAAGAACATCTTTCCTTTCAATCATGTCCATCTTCTTGCTGCAGTGTAAATGTGTAGTGGCTCTCTCCCAGGAAGATGAAGAGCAGAGAAAGTCTCTTTCAGTTTTTTTCAGCATATGAGGAAAAAAAAAAGATGATCCAGTATTTCCCAAAGTACCAGGAAATTTGGAAGTATTGCTAATCCCTGTATACTGGAATTCCTCAGTTTCAGAAACCATGGAGGAGATTCTCATCTCCTTTCATAGAATATGGAGCTCTTCATTTCTGTGAGGTGGGCATAGCAACTGAAAAAGGACAAGACAAAGGACAGCTAATACTATATCAGACTAGATCTAATGAAACTTTCTCGAAACCCAGATTAATCAAGTAATTTTGTTTGGTATTAGGCATAACTTTACTGAGATTGTGAGGGTTTTCTTCTTTTTTTCCCTTTTTTCCCCCCACTTCTAGTAGGCAAAAATCATACTGTGCAGCTAAATGCTAAGACCCAGGCAGCCAATGCAAAGAGGGTATCCATCTGTCAACAGCACGGTCAATGAACAGAATAAACATTTTCTTTAAGTCTTTTGCATATGACAGAAATCAAACCACTTTGTACTAACATCCTCAGAATAGTCAGCCATAGAAAATGATGACATCCACAAGATAATATTGAGACAGATTAGTATGGTACCTGAAGCCAATAAAACATTTCTGCAAAAGGAACAATGTGAGGGAAATTCCTAAGTATAGCAGCACAAATACCGAAGAAATGTCTCCTATTTTGTTTCTGGTGAGAAGCTATGTTTCAACAGGAATTTTGGCTCTGTGTCTTTGCACTAAGGGTCAACCTCATCTGGTCAGGGATAAATGTTATTTCTACGACTTTATCCAACACACCCATCCTCACCAGCAAAAAAAAAGGGAGGGGAGGGGGGCACAAAACTTTCCCTTGAGAATTTTAGCAGGAGTCGTAAATGAATGTTAATATATTGGTGCCAATGCCAAATTGACAAAGTGGAAGGAAAGGAATGATGATCAAATTTGCCAAGAACTCACACATGAATCTTGCAGATGTTTTTATTTTGTCAGCTACTTGGAACTTTGTACACTATTTCCTCTCACCTTCTCCTCCTCATTTTGCCATGTGTACTGGTATAGCTGCAATCCAGAAAGCTGACACTCCCTGCCAGGCACTCTGTTGGCAGAACCTAATGTCCTCAGGAACACATAGGGTGGAGAAACTAATGGCTTTCATTTGGAGACCAATAACTTTCACCAGACACCCACAGTGCCAACCCCTGAGAATTTGTATTTTGATATTTCAACACCCACTCTGAACCCGAAACGCAATCAAAACAATTCTGAGCCTGTGCCTTTGAAAAGACAGAAGTTTTCATATGCTAGAATGAAGGAGAAAGCAAGAAGACAAGATTAACAATACACTTAAGTCATACAAGTGAAAGCAGAAAAGATAAAATGTTTTGTTTCTTTTGATGAAAATAGAATTGTAAGACAAAAGAACTGAAGGAATGAAAAGTAGAACTAAGAATATCAAGGAAAGTTAAAGCTACTGGGGTTATGAGGTTACTTTATCAAGTATATGAAATTCACCACCTCCTCAAAGAAACAAAGAAGAAAAGCAAGTAGATTATAAGCTACTTAAAAACTTCTCACCAGTAAGGATGGTTAAATACTATAGCTTATCAAATCATAGACCTTAGGCTAGAAAGGCTCGCTGAGGTGACTGACTCTAACTCCCTCATTCTACGGAAAAGCAAACTAAGGAATGAAAAGGCAAGTGAGCTACTCAGATCACACAGCTAATAAGCATCTGAGGTGGAGTCTGAACCAGCTTTTCCCAATGCCGAGTCTAGTGTCCTAGACACTCTACCAAGAAAAGTTTAAGCATCAATATTCATGGAGAAAGAGCTTTAAGAATAAGTCCAAAGGATAATTTAGATCTTTAGATTCTAGTACCTTACAATTATGTTTCACAGTGCCTTTGCACATTGTACTCACTCAATAAATATCTGCTGATGGATTTCAAGGGCTGAAATTCTCACCTAAGCCTGCATAGGTCCTGCGTTTGCTAAGGCTGGCTGACTTCACTAAGAACATGCAGGACTGGTGCGTCATCCAGGAACAGAAAATCAACAGTAGGGCTCCCAGGATAATGCCACACTAGAGGATTCAAAAAGAAAAGAAAGAGAGATACCATCACAAAATGATAAATAAAACATTTTCTCAGATTTATCACACACAAACATATATTTATTTTATTTATTTAACTCAGAGCTACTGTAATTAGAAAAACGCAAGAGTTGTTCAATTTCACTCACCTGCCCATACAAGCATTTATTAAACCCCTCCTATGTGCCAGGCACTGAGGATAAAAGACAAAAAATAAAACAGTCCCTTCCCAAAAGAATTGCTCCCAAAATTAATTTGTTGTGACTTCTGGAAAAAGGTATCAAATCAGGGTCATCTATCAAAGGAAAACCCTTTCAGGCCTTCACCTTCCTAATCCCTCCTCCCTCAACAATTATTCATTCTAGTGGACTGTCTCTGATTATGTACCAATCTAGCAGTTCTCTTGTTCACTGCACATTTATTTATAATCCAGCCATTTTTGTGTATTAGTTATATTAACTACTAACATTAATACTAATATTAAAGAATTATTCTGGAAGAAATTCAAATGAAACAAAAATCTACAAACTAACATCCAACATAACTACAATGATACAGATCACTTTATCACACTATTTAATCTGACTGCAGAAGTCATGAGAAAATACCTGTATTTTAGAATAGCTAAAACATAACCTTGAAATACACTGAAATAAAAGCATAGGAGTTATATGCAACTAATGGTACTCGAAAAATAGGAAGGAATGACGAGAAAATTACATTCCCAGTGATAAAGTACAATATAGTGGACTGGTAGTTAACAGAACAGACCTCACCATTATGTGACCTTAGACAACCTTTCTGAGCTTCTTTTATGCATTTATGAGGGAAACAGACTGCAAGAGACAATCTCTAACAGTACTTCCAGAGCTACAATATTTCAGAGGTACACACCATTGAAACTACAAATCCCAGAATGAAATGTTTTTAAGAGAGGAAGGGGAGAATAAAGCTGCAGTGCATACTGGGACATGTAGTAGTCAGTGAATCCTTCCAGATAAAAAAACTGATATCTGAAACAATGTGTCATCATATGGCCCCAGGACTCTAGTAAGCTGCCAGCATGGCCTTCAGCCACTTTTGCCCTAGGCAAAAAAAAAAATCACCTACTTTATGTTTGCTAAAAAAATCCAGAAGTCCAACTTGCTAATAACTAACTCTAGAAGGGCTCTCTCCACAAAAGGTTGGTCATTTCCAAGACTGAAAACCTTTCATTAATTTTTTTAAAAACCTTTGGCTTTTTTTCCAAAAGATGAAAATTTCAAAGTTCTTCTAACTTTAAGTAAAATTAAGCCATTGATGGTATTTCATTAACCCACTCAACAAATACTGATGATGATCTAGTAAGCAAGGCACAGTGGAAGGTCCTGCAGTGATCACTAATTTAGATAAGATGAGTTGCCAGCCTTCATGGATCTAACAGTCTACTAGAGGAATAAATCAGACATAAATGTAAAATTAAAAATACAATGGAGAAGGATAAAACCATATGAGATCTGAGGGAGGAAACTGGGTAGGGAGGAAGAAGACTAACACATTTACACTACTTTGAAGTTTCTAAAGCACTCTTTAATATATTATCTCATTTGATTTTTACAAGAACCCTTAAAGTAAAAACTATAGCTATTTCACCCCTACTTTTCAGAAGAAGAAGCTGGGGCCCCAAAAGAACAAAGTCATGGGTATATGGTCACACAGCTAGAAAGCGTCAGAGGCAGGATTTTAACAGTCTTCTTGACTCTAGGTGAGGCACTTTATCCATGCCATTCTGCATGAAAAATGAAGTGAGGTCCTGATTTTTTGCAGGCACTCAACTGCTTGAAAGTTGTTAAAGTTTTTTGGTTGCATGAGGGATCTGGGAAGGCTTCATATTATTAGAGATTTAGAATTGGATGGGACTTCAGAAATCATCTAGTTCGGGGCAGCTAGGTGGAACAATGGATAGAGCTCTGGCTTTGGCGTCAGGAGGACCTGAGTTCAAATTCAGCTTCACCCACTTGACATTTACTAGCTGTGTGATTCCAGGCAAGTCACCTAACCCCCGACTGCCTCACCAAAAAGCAAAAAAAAAAAAAAAAAAAAATCATCTAGTTCAACAGATAAGTTTCACAGATAAAAAACCTGAGGCCTAGAAAGACTAGCAGGGGTGGGGAACCTACAGCCTCAGGGCCACATGTAGCCCTGTAGGTCCTCAAGTGGGGCCCTTTGACTGAATCCAAACTTCACAGAACAAATCCGCTTAATAAAAGGACTTAGTCAAAAGGCCTCACCCAAGGACCTAGAAGGCCACAGGTTCCCCACCCCTGGATGTAATTTGCACAAGGTCACACAGGCAGTAAATGACTGATCCAGTATTCAGCAAAGAATGGGAAGGAGGTCTTCCTATGTATAGGGAATAATGTTAAGCACAAGAAGTGGTAATCCAGCTAGGCTGGGACATATGTGAGAAGTGAAATGAAATCAAGCTGGAAAGATAGGGTGGCACCACATGTGGAATGATTTCAATGCCCGGTAAAGTGGTAAGTTCTGGGTTTTTTTTAATAGATATAATGAAATCTACACACAAGAAAAATTATCCTGGCAGTAATACAAAGGATAGACTGGAGAGAGAAGGAAGTAGAGATTGAAGACCTGTTAGGAGGTTCCTGTAATAGCCTAAAAAGGTGGTAAAAGGCTTACAAATCAGTTTATTAACCTTCAGAAAAATAAAATACTTATAGATTCTAGCACACAGGGTTGTTATGATGCTCAAATGAGATCCTTCTCTTCCTCCAAACACACCTTCAGCTCCAACACCACCTTCTCCAGGAGAACTGCTAGTGCCTTCCTTCACAAACTACCTTGCATTTAAATCCTTTCTATTTATTCTATTTATACTTATTCTGAATATAGTTACCTTATAGTTGCTTGTCTCCCTGTTAGAATATAAAATCCTTGAGAACAGGGATGATTTCATTCTTCGTATCTCCAGAGTCAAGCACATCTGGCACATAGGAGGTACTTAATAAATGCTTGTTGATCGACTGATTTGTAAAAACTAAAAGTGCTTCTTAAGTTTCAGCTGCCATTATTATTGCACCAGAAATACAAACATGTTTTGGGACAGGAAAATAACTTTAATTTTAATTTACTTCTACCTCATTCTGAAGAGAGGGGACAGGGAAAGGGGAGGTTGGTGACCACTTTCTATTTTCAAAAACCTCATTTTTAAAAGGAAAATATGAATTTTTCATGATTTTAATATGAAAATATGAAACCAAAAAATGCACATTTCAACTCAAACTTCAGTACCATATATCCTATCCTCAAGCCTGGTCTCAGATTTTACCCACTAAGCTACACGAGATCTACTGGTTAATACCAGCATTTCCTTTTCTCTGTGACACTTCACTGTCTTATTCCTTCCACGCTCACTCTTCTTCCAACATGGAGAAGCAGCCCTCTCCTCAACTCCTTACTCAAAGTTCATTTTCCTGTTAGAAAAGTATCAAGATCTGAAACAAGAATTCTGTATTTCTAATATTAGTACAAACATAAATTTGGAAGCATATCAAATCTCTTGGCCATTTTATTTGATCTTTACATTCTTATGTATATAGGTTTTTATAGAAGCTATTACCTCCACAATTACATATTTTGCTTATAATAGCTACTCAATTATTTTTTATAAACTTACAGTTTGTACAAAACAGCTTTGTTCTCTTAAATTACTGACTGCTTTTCATTCAATAAGTTTTCCATGCATCTACTTACATACATAGGTATTGAGAGCTAAAGATGGTAAGTTTGGAAGTACCTAGGAAAATAAGACAAATTCCCCTCTCTCTCTCATAATTTATCCTGTTCTTTGGAAGTTTACAATCCAGTTGCAGCAATGATATGTAACATGAAACACAATTAAGTTACAATACAAGGCAATACTCTCTCTCACATGTATATATGTATGCATACATATATGTATGTAAATATATATATACATACACACAAGTGCTTTTTCTATACATCATACATGTGTGATTAAGTGTCAAAATAAGGTACTGAATATGTGCCTCAGGAGTTCAGGAATAAAAGAGATAAATATGGGTTATAGTTGTCTGTAAAGAAGAAAGGATTTGAGATGGGCCCTGAATAGGAAGAATTTGTATAATCAATCAACAGGTATTCATTAAATGCCTACTATGTGCCAGTGACTATGGTAGGTGCTGGGGATACAAATACAATGTACATATATAGCGAATATAAAGAGAATAAATACCAAAAAAAATACAAAGTAGTTAAAGTAGTTTGAGGGTGCCCCTAGCAGTTGAAGAGATTAGGAAAACATTCATGTAGGAAGTAGTGCTTGACTGAGTCTTGAAGAAGAGGGATTCTGTGAGGCAGAAGTAAGGAGAAAATGAATTCCAGGTATAGCTGATGTCCAATGTAAAGGAACAAAGATGGGAAATGGAATCTAGAGGCAACAGGAAATCATTGTAGTTTACTGAGTACAGAATGGCATGGTCCTTTCTGTGCATAAAGAAAATCTTTGGCAACAGGGTAGAGGATGGACTAAAGTGGGGAAGGATTTGAGGCAGGGAGACCTATTTGGAGGCTATTTCAATAATCAAGGCAAGAGATGATGAGGGTGGTTGTGAGTAGAGAGGAGTCAGAAATAAGAGATGCAGAAATGAGGAAGCAGAAATGGCAAGATTTGGCAATTGATCTGATATGTGGGGTGAGGGAGGGTAAAGAGGATAAGTGGAGACTAATGCCAAGGTTACAAACATGCAAAGGGGAAAGGTAAAGTGAATAAGCATTTATATAGCACCTACTATGAGCCAGGCACTGAGATAAACACTTTTACAAATATTATCTCATTTGATCTCCACAACAATACGTAGATGCTATTATTACCCTCATTTAACAGCTGAGGAACAGTCAACAGAGGTTTGCAGAGGCAACAGACTTGCCCAGGATCACACAGCTAGTATGAGGCTAGGTTTGAATTCAGGTCTTCCTGATCAGGCCCAACAATTTACCCACTGTACCACAAATGTATTGAAGACGGAAACACTGACTGTTGGTGTTTTCATCAAAAATAAGGAATTCTGGAGGATAGGGAGAAAAATAATGGGTTCAGTTTTGGACATGTTGAATTTGAGGTATCTCTAGGATATCCAGTTTAAAATGTCCAATAGTGAACAGATGATATGGGATTGATACTCAGAAGAGAAAGTAGGGATGGATATGTTCATCTGGGAGTCATCAGCATATAGATTAAATTAACTAAATCCTTGGAATATGATAAGGTCTCCGAGAGAGAATATTCAGTTTAGGGGATACCCACAGTTAAGAGGGCATGATCTAAATGATGAACCAGCAAAGGAGACTGAAAAGGAGTAGTTGGATAGACAGAAGAGTGCCACAAAAGCCCAGAGGAAAAAGTATCCAGGAGACAAGGGTAGTCAGGTGTATGGAATGCAACAGAATAGTTGAAAAGGATGAGGGTTTAAAAAAACTATCAAAGGTTTGGCAATTGAGATCATCGGTAACTTTGGAAATAGTACTTTCTCTCCTAAGTAGAGAAAAGAAACGCCTGTATTCTTTTTCCTTTGCTTTAACTGAAACTTTTTCTTAAGATGAACATCTCAAATTGACCTTTGTCAGTCTGAGAATGAATGGCAAACTAAATGTGAGTGTAAAGACCTGAAAGTTCGATCAGAAGAAGGATATTTCTTAAAGTTGTGAGAACATTTATCCTTCATGTAGATCCTGACAAAACTATGGGCACTGATTTACAGAAAAATCTGTAAACAACAGCCACTTTTGTGACATGTTCCAGTTAAACTCAAAGTGGGAATATTTTCATAGAAAATATTTCAGTCTCCCTTTTCTGAAAAGCTTACATTTTCAAAAGTATGAAAGCCAAAAAAATTCATACCTCAGACACAACCACTTTATCACTGAATAGCATTACATGGGTACTGTTCAACACTGGCTTGGCTGGCAAGAATTTTATGTGTATAGACTATATGAGGAATTATAATCAGAAGTTTAAAACAAACCAAAATAAAATTGCTTATTATGGACACTTTCCATTTCAGAAGATATTCATGTTTTAAATATCTTTGGCCTTAATTAGAAAGTTTTAAAAAGCACCAATAACCTAGACAGGTCTCTTTCCTCTGAATTTTCAGGCAGGAGGCCAAAAACAGGTGCTACCAAACCTTATCTTTTTGATGTAATTCGACAAATGCTTGACTCCACAGATCTCCCCAGTGGTGAAAATTTAAAAAAAAAAAATTAGGTGTACCTATGTAAACATGGCACTTACTATATTAGGAATCTAATTACATTAGAACTCCATATGAGTTATCCTGATATTCTTACATTTACGTGTCAAAAATGCATTCTTCATTAACTTTGTTGACAGTACGATTTGGCCTAGAAGACCAGTGAAGTTTCCTTCATCTCTAAATATTCTACAAGTCTAGTTCCACTTACAATAATTTGGGTACAAAAGGCTCTTTTGTTCACAAGCAAAAAAAGAATCGTGTTACTAATATCAGCCCAAGGGAATACACAAGAAGGAAAGATGTTCGCTCTAGCCTGAGGGCAAAAACATAGACCTGCAGGTTATAGAGCAGTCCTAGGCTCTGGGTCAAACACCCAGTCAACCTTTTTCCCAAACCAATTCCTACCAATCACGACGAAAAAAAAAAAATGAGACATCTAGAAAAGCAGATGGTCGCATTTTACTACAGACTTAGGGTGGCCCCGAGGACAGGAGCCAGGTGCAGGGTGGCAGACTCACCTGTTTAAAGCAGAAGGGCATGGTGAGCACACTGACCCCCACAATGCTGTTCACAATGTTCATGATTAGACCCCAGTTAGACGCTGCCACTGCGGCCATTGCTGAAGGGGTCAGGGACAATGACCCCCCCCCTTCTAGCTCCACCCCAGGGTAAATAGGGGTCGGGGTCTCGGGATGCCAAGGGGGAGGGGAGAGAAGTGTCGCACCTTCACTAGAAGTGGTCAAGGGGTCCCACGATTCTCCCCCCGCCTGCCCCCAAGGAACTACTTGCCCAGGATCAGTTAGTTCAAGACAGGGGAGGTGGAGGGAAAGGGAGAGAAGACTGAAAAGGAAGGAGTGGGATCCTGGGGTGCAGGGGGCCAGATTGGGGAGGAGGGGAGGGACAGGAGCAGAGGGAGGATAGAGCTTTAGCCTCCCGAGTCCTCCAGGCTCTGCGATCGCTTCATGTCCTTCCCCCCCTTCCTCCTGCCCTGGCAGCCGTGTTTTCCCCCTTCCCCGCTCCAGGGGAAGCGTCGGCCCTGCCAGCAGCCCCAGCGCCGGATCCCGGAAGACAAGACAACCACTTCGACCCGGACACCTCAGCTCGGACTCCCTCTCTCCTCCCCCCTCCCTCTCCGTCAGGTCCTGCCTCTTCGTCACTTCCTGGAAGACGGCCGAGGGAAGGCTGTGTGAACCAATGAAATAGAGGGAGGAGAAGAGAGGGGCGGGGCGGAGAGGTAGGGAACCTGTGTGGACCAATGAGATGGCGGGCCTGGAACCAGAGTGGGAGGGCTCACCCTGGGGGATTAGAGACCGGCTTCTACACGTGGCGGTTTAGCCGACCGAAGCTGGTGCCTCTGGAGCTGTCTAGTACTAGTTCTTATTGTTAAATTTTCAGTGTGAGCATTTGCTCTTCGGAAATTGGTTCCAAACCAGGGCTTGATGGGTCGTTTTGTTGATTGTTGTTATTGTTAAGTCTTTAATGTCTGACTCTCCGTGACCCCATTTGAGGTTTTCTTGGTAAAGACACTGGAGCGGTTTGCCATTTCCTTCTCCAGCTCATTTTACGGATGAGAAAACTGAGGCAAACAGGGTTAAGTAATTTGCCCAGGGTCCCACCGCTAGTAAGTGTCTGAAGCCAAATTTGAACTCAGGAGGTTGGAGTCTTCTTGACTGTAAACCCCGCACTTACCCCACTGCGCCACCTGGCGGCCAGGTAGATTGTCTAGAAGACCTAGTAATATGACGGAGAAAATGTTAACGATGCAGATGGAACTTAAAAGTTTGTCCTGTGCACGTTCTCACACTCCACACATAGCCGCCCCCCCCCACAACCCACACTAGTTAAATATTTACCAGCATACCCTCCTATCTGTCACCCCCCTTTCTAATCTTGCCCAGACAACTGAACTCTGGTGGTAATTTGCATCCACATAGATCTGGCTTGGTAGATAGACCCAGACATTTAATAAGCACCAACCACACATATACAAGGCACTTACTAGTGCCTGCAAGGCAGGGTGCTCTCCTGATGGATGGAAAGCAAGCTTCTCCACGGTAACAAGAACTGCAGCCGGAGCAACAGCGGGGCTAAGGAAAGGACAAGGAAGAATCCTTGTTTTTCCAGTTGGAGGCTGGGAAGTCTTTTATTGTCAGTTTGCTGCCCATAAGCTGGGATTGGTTTGTCCCCAGAGAAGTCACCTCTGAGAACTAATCAATAAACAAGCATATGTTAACCACTTGCAATGTGCCAGGCAACGTGCTCTGGTTTGCCCCTACAAAGGAGCTTACTTTCAGAATATATATAAAATACGTTCAAAATAAATAGAGGCTCAGTTTCTCATCTATGAAATGGATTTAAACTGGAAGATCTCTAAGCTCCCTTCCAGCTCTATGGCTCCATAAAATTCTTTATTGGGCTGAATGAAACAGTTTTCCTTGGTACTTGAAAAGATTCCAGAACTAGGGCAGAGGTCTTTTCCACACTTGTATCACTGACATACCACTGGAAGGCAGTGGTTTCTGAGGTTGTCGGCCTAGCGGCTTAGTCATTATAATAAAAATGTTCTCCTCTCCTGTGAGGAGAAAGGATAAGTTAATAAAATGTATGTAGATTTAGAACTGGAAGGGACCTCAGAGGTCATCTGAGTCCAATCCCCTCATTTTATGGATGAGGAAAGTGTAAACATGCTTACAGAATCCAGTGTTCTTTCCCTTGCTTTTAATATGTCTAAGATGTTAAAAGGGGATGAGACAACCACAGTTTCCATTCCTTGACGTTGGACTAAGGTGCTGGGGTGGAGGGAGGGAACACATCTTTCCAAAGCTGGGGCTCTAATTTTACATCATCTCCTAGGGGACCCCTTTCCCTCCCTAGAATGAGGTCAGTTTTGGCTCTAGGAGAGTTGCACTACCTCCTACATATATCACCTAGACATCTGGATGGCTTCTTAGAAATATCCTTTCCATAATCTGGGTTAATTTAGTCATGCTGACAAATAGCAAGCAATAGGGATCTATGCCTTGAATCCATTTCTTTTCTGGGGCCCCAAAGTATTAGAGATTTTCTGGAAACATCAGCGGTAAAGGGAAATTTAGTGTTCTTATAATTAAGTTGTTGGAAGTGCTAGTTTCTGGCACTAGCTGAGCCTCAGGCAATTCTGATGCCTGGTTCAAAGAGCTTGAAGCAAACCTGTAACTAGATCATGGTGACTGGAGCCTTATCCCAGAGCACCGAATTTAGAGGGTGCTAATAGTACTGTTCTCTGGAGTTCTTTCTCCCCTTCAGTGTATCTATGCACCACCTTCTCAACAGCAGCCAGGTTCTTTGTTTTGTTTTGTTTTTTTGCAAGGGGGGGGGGTGGTGGTGAGGCAATTGCGGTTAAGTGACTTGCCCAGAATCACACAGCTATTGAGTTTTATGTGTCTGAGGTCGGATTTCAACTCAGGTCCCCCTGACTCCAGGGCCGGTGCTCTATCCACTGTGCCACCTAGCTGCCCCACCAGCAGCAAGTTCTTAAGGAGGATTGAGTTATGCCTCAATGTCCAGTGCTTTGTTTCTTCCTCTATTCCCTCCCTACTCCCAAAGCCTCATCACAGATAAACTCCTCTTCCCCTACCTTGCCTCAACCCTTGCCCCAGGGGCAAAAATCCATAGGTCTACTGAAAAGGACCATAGAGATTCTCTAGTCCAAGGGTGCTTAACCCTTGTTCTTTAAGTCCATGGATAATTTTCAGGGGATCTGAAAGTTCAGGTGAACTTGGAAGGGAAAAAAATATATAACATTTTAATTTTCACCAACTTCTAAATGAAATTTACATTTTCTTCAATTATTTTTAAAAGTTCCACAGGCTTTAGCAGACTGCCAAAGGGGTCTCCATAACCTAGTTCAATCTCTTCGTTTTATGAAGAAGAAAAGTAAATACAGAAGAATGAAGAGATTTTTCCAAAACACTTACACAAGCCCCCTGTTTTTGTTCCTACTTACATGCTGCTGAATGAAGCAGGAAAAAAATCACAAAACTGTGCTAACTGGGTCTACTATAAATTTATGTTACATCGTCTCAACTGGGTCCTCACTGCAGCAAGGCAATGCTTTTATATGTCCCTAATTATCTCACTATCCCATTCACCACAGCAGCTCTCCTAAACCTTTTCATCCCCTTAGTGCCCTTCCTGACAACCGTCTTCACCTGACTATCTTGCTTCACAGTTCACTGAATTGAGACCATGCACAGAGAGCTCTTTTCCCCTGCTCCTTATCTCACATCACTCAGATGACTTCTGCCACCATCAGTCTCAAATGAGAAGGTGGCCCTTTTCCTTGTCTAAGTTAACTTCTCTAAATGTACAAGTGGTCCTATTCCTCCTGGTCTTCTCCAGCAGATTGTCTCCCTCTTCTATCTCTACTACCTCACTAATCTTCATATTCTCCTTGCCTACTGGTTGCTACCCTACTTTGTACAGACCCATTCATGCTTCTCCCACCCTCAAAAAAAAAAAAATCCTCACTTGATCCATCCATCTCCTCTATCACTCCATATCTCTCTCTTCCCTTTTGTGGCTATACTCTTAGAGAAGGCCATCCATAATCAGTCCCTCCACTTTCTGTCTTCTTAACTCTGCATTGTCCAGCTTACAACCTAATTGTTCAACTGAAATTGCTCTCTACAAAGTTATCAATGATCTCTGAAGTATCAAATCAAATGGCCTTTTCTCAATCCTCACCCTTCTTGATCCCTCTGTAGCCTTTGCACTCTCAATAGTCCTCTTCTCCTAGATACTGTCTTCTCTCTAGGTTTCCATGACATTCCTCCTACCTGTCTGACTGCTCCTTCTTAGCCTCCTTTGCTGGATCTTCAGTCTGGTCAAGCCTACTAACCATGGGTGACTCCAGTGCTCTCTCCTGGGCCCTCCTCTCTTCTCCTGCTAAATGATTTTGTTCAGTGAGTTCATTAGCTTCTATGAATGACAATCAGTCATCTCTATGACGATGATTCTCAGATCTGCTTATCCAGTTCTAACCTCTCTCCTGACCTCCACTCTCAAGGATCTCTAACTGCCTATCGGACATCTCAAATTGGATACCCTGGAGACATCTCAAAGTAAACACATCCAAAACTGAATTCATTATCTTTTCCCTCAAATTTGCCCCCTTCTTAATTTTCCTATTATTGTCAAGGGTACTTTCATCCTCCCTATAACTCAGGTTCACAACCTAGTAGTCATTCTTAGCTCCTTACTTTCTTCCATCCCCTTATCCAATGTGTTGCCAAATCCTATCAATTCTACCTTTGTAACGTCTCTTGAATGTGCCCCTTTTTCTCTTCTGACACTGCCACCACCCTTGTGCAGGTCCCTATCACCTTACACTTGGATTATTACAATAGCCTTCTTTTTGGTCTCCCTTCTTCAAGTCCCTCCCCACTCTAATCCATCCTCCACTCACAAATTGATCTTCCTAAAATGCATGTCTAACCATGTCACCCATGTCACATTCAATAAACTCTAGTAACTCCTGTCACAAGGATAAAATATAAAATCCTCCATTTAGAATTCAAGGACTGCTATAACCTAGCCATCTCCTATCTTTCTGGTCTTCTTACACATGACTCCTCTCTTCTCATCCCCATCCAGTGACACTAACCTCCTTAATATTCCTCAAACACTCCATCTCCTCAATCTGAGCATTTTCACTGGCTGCCCCTTTGTCAGGAATTCTCTCCCTCATCGTTTGTGTCTTCTGGACTCCTTGACTTCCTTCAAGTCTCAGCTAAAATCTCACCTTCTACAGGGAGACTCCCAAACCCTCTTAATGCTAATGTCTTCCTTGCTATATCTCCAATTTATTATATATATATATATAATATACAATTTTATATTTATCATATATTTGCATATCTTGTTTGCATATAGTTGTTTTCCATGTTGTCTCCTCCATTAGCCTGTAAGCTCCTTGAGAACAAGGAATGTCTTTTATGTTTCTTTGTATCCCCAGAGCTCAACACAATGCCTTGTACATAGTAGGTGTTAAACAAATGCTTGTTGACTAAGTAGCACAGTCAGGATCTGCAACCAGGTCTTCAGATTCCAAATTCAGTGATTATTCTTGATGATGACACAGAACTGGATTCTGTGATCTCCCAACTACTTAAACTAGTAATTCCAAAGTCCTTCAGGAAACTTAGCCTATGGTTAAGCAATATATATGGAAGGGGGTGGAGGGATGACCCTAAAAGATGATGCTGTTAAACTTTTGCACTCAATAGTCCAGCAAATTTGGAAAACTCAACAGTGGCTACTGGATTGGAAAAAAAATCAGTTTAGGTCTCAATCCTAAAGAAGGACAATGTCAAAGAATATTCAAATTACTGAACAATTGTACTCATTTCACATACCAGCAAGGTTATGCTTAAGATTCTGCAAGCTAGGCTTCAGCAATATGTGAACCAAGAATTACCAGAAGAGCAGGCTGGTTTTTGAAAAGGTAGAAGTACTAGAGACCAAATTGCAAAGCAAGAGAATTCCAGAAAAACATTAACTTCTGCTTCATTGGCTATACTAAAGCCTTTGACTGTGTGGATCACAACAAAATGTGGCAAGTCCTTAAAGAAATGGAAGTACCAGATCATCTTACCTATCTCCTGAGGAACCTGTATGTGAGCTAAGAAGCAACAGTTAGATCTGAACATGGAACAACTGATTAGTTTAAGACTGAAAAAGGAGTACAACGGTGCTGTATATCATCACCTTATTTATTTAACTTATATGCAGTGTACATCATGTGAAATGCCAGGCTGGATGAATCAAAAGCCAAAATTAAGGTTGCTGGGAGAAATATCAACAGTCTCAGACATGCAGATGATACCACTCTGATGGCAGAAAGTGAAGAGGAATTAAGAAGCTTGTTGATGAGGGTGAAGGAGGAGAGTGTGAAAGCTGGCTTGAACCTTAACATCAAAAAACTTAAGATCTTGGCAACTGGTCCCATCACTTCCTGGCAAATAGAGGGAAAAGAAATGGAAACAGTGTCAAATTTTCCATTCTTGAGTTCAAAGAGCACTGCAGACAGTGACTATGGCCATGAAATTGGAAGATGTCTGCTCCTTGGAAGAAAAGCTATGGCAAATCTGGTCAGCACACTAAAAAAGCAGAGACATCACCTTGCCAGCAAAGGTCCATATAGTCAAAGCTATGGTTTTTCCAGTAGCAATGTATGGCTGTGAGAATTGGACTCCAAGAAAAGCTGAGGAGCGCTTGGGGCTACCTGCCATGGCTGCATGCTGCCTTAGGCAAGTGCCACCTGTGGGGGAGGTCTCTGGTGAGGGCCTGGAACCTGCCAAGGTGTCGGGGTGCTTACCACTCTGCCACTGACAGGAATGACTTCCAGAGGAAGTTGATTGTTAATTTGGAACTCTTTGTTGCTGGTGTCTGCCTGGCTAGGAACCTGAGAGACATTGACTTAATGGCACCCCAGTCAGGCCTGTAGCACAGCTAATAAAACTAGTGACTTCATTTCTAATACTGCCTCCATGATCTGAATGCAGTTTCTTGGAAGCTCTATCCAACCCGAAGCTATGACCATAACATGACCACCAGACGATCTGCTTTGACTGGCTATCACAAATCTGATTCAGACTTGCTACATTCCCTTTTGTACACTAGATATCTTTCTTCCTTGGTCAATCTATGAACAGCCATAGCTTCAATTCTACTTAAGCATGGTGTGAAGCATATTGCCTTTGCTCTGTATATTCTATATATCTTCCAAAACCTTGCAGGTTGGCCAGATGCCAGGCAGAGAGTGTGTTGCAAGTTGCATTTGCTGTTCTTTTCAGTTATACAAAGATTTTTTTCTCCTAAAACGTTTGAAATAAAAGACAGTTAACAAAGAAAAAAAAGAAGAAGAAAAGCCAAGTGCCACAGAATCAATGCTTTCAAATTGTGCTAGAGAAGACTTTTGAGAGTCCCTTGGATAGCAAAGATATCAAATAAGTCATTACTTAAAGAAATTAATTCAGGCTATTCACTGGAAGCTGAAGTTTTAATACTTTGGCCACAGAAGACAACACTCATTGGAAAAGACCCTGATGTTGGGAAAGATTGAAGGCAAAAGGAAAAGGGGAAAGCATAGGATAAGATGGATATATAGTATCATGGAAACAATAGACATGAACTTGGACAGACTTTGAGAGATATTGGAGGATAGAAGTGCTATAGTCCATGGGATCATGAAGAGTTGGACATAAGTGAATGACTGAACAACAACAAGGGAGGATGACCAGCTGATGCAGGGGGCCCAGTGCTTGAAGCATGTACAATGTTCTTTGCCCCTATATATCCACGTGGAAGCTTGGGAAGCCTGTTTTGGGGAGCAATTGATGACATGCATTGGAGCAGCCTTATCCCAATTCAGAGCATGCCTAGGGATTCTGTAACTTTCCTGTAAAGAAATGCATTTTAATTGGCTGAGCCAGAACTGAGTATACATACAAAAGCCAAGAACAGAGAAAAGGTGAGAACTCTCTTTCTCTCTTTCTGTCTCTGTCTCTGTCTCCCTGGTGATTTTTTTGTGAAGAGGAAGAAATGACATGAACCAATGGCGTTAAACTCAACTAGAAACAGGGACCACTAAACCATACATAAGTATCCCTGTGGGCTAGATATTGACTTAGAAAACTACATATTAAATTCTCTACACTTCATTTTATTTGTATTTATTTTGCTAAACATTACCCAATTACATTTTAACCTGGTTCAGGCAATACATGGGAGTGTTGTAAACTGCAGAGGCTCTGGACTGCATGTTTGACACCTCTGCTGCACACCTCTGGGCGAGAAGAGAATTAGTATCAGCCCTGCCAGTTGCTAGTGTAGCTGTCCTATTTCCACATGGCCATGTCTGTTTCTCCCATCCATGTTGTTTCTGTTTTTTCCCGATTTTAGGTGAGTAAGTATCAGGGGTAGACAGACCAAGTTAAGACTGCAAACTTCTAAAGAACAGAAAAAGCATCAGAGGTCCTGTAAGGGCAGTTCATAGCCCAGTCTGCTATAGCCACAGCTGCTAAGCCAGGTGGGGAGCAACCTACTTGACCCAGCCCAGCAGCAAATTGACCCAGCAGCTGAAATACTACATCCTGCATGGGAGTGACTGATCCATTAGGAATGCCATGCCTAGAAGTGAACTTGATTGGGGTGGGGGGGGGGGGGGGGGGGGGGAAGGGAATGGAAATTTAAGTTGACTCTCCCCAGGAACCCAGATGGTAAAAGAGATGCACAAAATCTCTTCTACATGGTTGAGGGTAGGGAGTTAGGTAAGGTGTAGTTTGCACTTCAAGTCTTGCTATACCTTCTCAGTAAATATCCATTGTTAAAAGCTAATTGGTGTTAGTTAATTGATATTGTGGAAAAATCAACAGTAAATTGATATAGGATGGTAATTACTAGTTAGATAGGTGTTATTGAGAAGATGGTAACTAGGTGATTGAGATTGGGGAGAATACACTAATCTGTGGTTCTTGAGTATTAGAAATATACTCCAGACCCTTAGTTATCCCCAGAATTTTGAAGGGAACAGTAGCCTACCTCTAGGGATCAGCATTGTCGGTCAGACTGGGGACTGGAAGAATAAATCCAGAGCCTACATGGACTAGACATGCATTTCCTACACAACCCAGAGAAAATGGCCTGGGATAGGGCAATGCTGAGTTCAAGTGTCTGCTGGTCCTAATCTCCCTGAGCTGCTCTTCTTAATTATGCACCAGCTCTTCCATCAGTGTAATGTAGCTTATTTCCCTGGATCTGCTGGGCTGGGGAGGAATCAAATTAAGTTCAAGAAACTTCATTTACACTTGAGTAATTAGGAAGCAAAGAACCTCCAGTTGTTGTCATTGCCACATTGCCAAAACCTGGGTTGAGAATCAGAATACTTGGGTTTTGGTCCCAGGCCTGCTACCTTGAACCTATACGACCCTTGACTAGAGTGCTTTCAGGATCTCCCAAGTGAGCCTGACTAGGCTTTTAACTGTGGCAGACAAGGTGTTCAAAGTTCAAATCCCTTTCTCTTTATTTTAGTAATTCTTTTGCCTAGGAGCCCAAGTTCCCCTCATTCCCTCCCAATTCTTATTTGCCTTTCTCTATGCAAAGACAATGAGACTAGTCACACCACAGTCTAGTACCAGCCTGCTCCTCAAACCCAGTAGGAGCTAAAATGGGAAAAAAAAAAAAGAGTAAGAGACACCAAAAGGCATGTTTAGCAACTTCAAACTCCCAGGCTTCCTTTCTCCACTTAGCTTCTCCCTCCCTCTCCTGTTTATATAACCCCAAAGCTATAAAAATGACAACACATCTAGCAGAAAGGAGTAGATCTAATTTACCATCAACAGCTCCTGTTAAAACCACAGATGGGCTGGAAGGGTGCATGCAGAATCTCTACTATTAGATTATAGGCGACTGGAATTCCATGAATATTGTCCCACACATTGAGGAATGGGGCTGAGCCAAACAAACCCAAATTACTTGAGGCCACATCTGAAGAGCTGCTCCGAAACCCCCTTGTACTAAAGGGCTCCTTGAGAAGAGAAGATCACCAGTGGAGAATTCGGTTGTCACAAGTTTTAATGGTTTCAGTTCCTCCAGTTTGACATTGCCTTCTGAACTTCCTGGGCTAGGGGGGGAGAGGATATGAAAGGGGAGAAACCATAACCTAAACATAATGGTAGCAGAGAAAAGAAAAGAAAGGATTGGTGTGTACCTAGTAGTACTCTGGCAAATGTTTAACAATTGGTTCTCTGTATGCCTGACTTGCTTTTAAGTTTAATTTGCTTTATTGACATTTCCTCCATCACTTTCTCAAGTCTAGTCAATCAGCCAAACAATAAATCAAGCCCCGGTGTTTGCCAATTTCTGAGGTATAAATACTCACAGCTGAAAATTTAACACTCAGCTCACCATAACAGGTTTGAGCTGGCTCCAGCACACCCTTGCTTGGGTATATCTTAAATTTATACAACATTTTTTTTAAACTATACTCTCTCATCTATCATCTTATTTGATCTTGTCCCAAACTCCATTACACCTTACCTTTGGGGGACATGGAGCTTTCCACAGAAGAAAAAACAACAGTAAAAACAGCTAATAATGCCAAGAGCAATAGGCCATGTTTACTTCACACAAGGGAAGGTGCTTTCATCACCTGGGTAAGGACACGAAGAGGACAACCATTTCAGATCCAGAACTCTGTGCTCTAAAAGTTAGGCTTTGAATGCCATGATCTTCAGGCCTGTCAAAAGGAGAAAGCAGATTAATGATCCAAGCCAGAAGCACTCTACTCCCCAGTGCCCAAGTTCTATCAATTTCTTGGTCAGTCTTCCATTTCTTTAATGCAGGACACCTGAATGGTTCTAGAAGAAAGTCAGGTATTTTTATGAGAATGGTCTTACTCAGACACATCTCACTGGTTTCCCACCTCTGATGTCACAGGCAGGAAGCTCTAATTAGCTAGAGAGGGAAAATATGAGGGAATTTCAGAAAAAGGGAATCAAAGTAAGTTATTTAACAAGAGCAGAACTACCAGGCATACTTCCCTCTCCTTGGCTGGTTTTCCTAATAGGAGAGGAGGGGAAAGGAAAGAGATTCCACATCCTTAGCAGGTCAGTCTAAGATATATAACAGGTGGGAATGGTGCATGCTACACACATGCCCAACTTTGGCAGCATCTTGGTGTCTAGACTAAATTCAGCCTTCAGCACAGAGGCAGAAGGGTTTTTATACAGATAGAAAAAATCAGAGAGTGAGGGTGTGGTCCCTGGACTACATTCTTTCTTCAGAGAGTTTTTTTCAGGGGCTTTAGTTCTCCAGAGAGATGGTGTATTTTTTGGGACCTTTCTCCTTCAAGGATGTGAAGACACTTCAAAGTGAAGCAACTTCCAGGAGAGCAATGAATGCTCCCCTGGACATAAGGGTCCTTCATGGCATGGGGTACTTCAGGCAGGGATCTCAGCATTACCCAGTAACCCCAGAGAGATCAGAAGCAGCAGACTGAGAAGTGGCTGTATCTTCTCTTGCATCCCCTGCTAAAATGAATTTGCCCCAGGGTCCAGAATTTCTAGTTCTGACTCTAATAAGCAGAGTTGGCAATACCAGCCAAGAGAAGGGTGTATCTGTAGAGCAGAGCCAACCTGTCTGAAAAAGAGAGTCCTGAGGGAAAATACACACACACACACACACACACACACACAAAGTTTGGAGGGGTTTTCCCCTCATAATGCTGTGAAGTGAATAGACAATATTGTGTGTACAGAGAGCGCTGATCTTAGAGTCAGAGGACACGGGCTCCAATCCTGCCTCTGATGCTTATTACCTGTGTGACCTTGGACAAGTCCCTGAAGCTCCTTGAACCTCAGTTTCCTGATCTGTAAAATGAGGAGGGGATGGTCCAAATGGCCTCTGAGGTCCAAGATCCATGATCATATGACGGTTGGATATCTTTATCTCTGTTTTACAGATGAGAGACCGACAGAGACAGAGGCAGAGAGACATATATAGAGACAGAGAAAAACAAATACAGAAAGGCAGAGAAAGAGGCATAGATGGGGCAGGGGGAGATAGACAGACAGAAAGACAGAGTGAGACAGAGACAGAAACAGAAAGGCTAAATAGCTTATCTAAGATCCTACAGGACTCTAAGTGTAGAAATAAGATTATCACCTAGGTCTCTTGCATTATTATTTTTTATGGTTGATTTGCTGCTACCTGGTCCTTGAAGGGTCTAGAAATTAACCAGCCAAGAGACTTCCAGATGTTGCAAGGTAAAACCTGGGCAAGAATACAGTGCTAAAGGTGAGGTCAGTGTGTTAAGGCCATAGACTAAATGTGAACTTGGATTAGATTTGAGGCTAGAGGTTTTTTTAAATATAGGCTGTTTTGCTGGTCATTTTAAAATCCCATAGAATGGAGGAAAAAGTAATTGAGAGAAGTGTAGGAAGAAGGGTAAAACCACTCTGGATGACTGCTGACTTCAGGGCATTTAGTGGGACAGTATAGATACGAGCTGAAGACGAGATTTTAAAAAGGATATAAGGGAAGCAAAGAGCTAGAAATGAGTGCTCTATGGATGGAATGAACTGAGGAGAACGAAACACTGAGATTTTGATGGAGGGATGTTCAGATTTCAGGCTGACCAGGGGCCCTCAGGAGGCCATCTAGTTCATCCCTACAATTTTTGACAGGATCCCCTCTATCCACACACCCAGGCCATCCTTGCCCTGCAGTGCACCCTCCCTCATCTTCCACTTGGAATAGCAGCCTCCCTACTGGATTTCCACAATCATGCCCTGAGTCCCTAGAGCAGTTAAGTCACTCAGGACTGAGACTGTTGCCTGAGGGCGGAGATGTTTAGATGGATAAATAATTGAGTGCAAACTCACCTGGCCTACTAGGTCTGACAGACACCAGACTAGGTGTCTGGCAGACACACATCTCATCTAGCTAGCCCTTCAGGCCATCTGCTCTTCTACTCTGCCTCTCCCACCAGCTTTGAACCTCTTGTTCTAGGCATAATTATTAAATCAGTACCATCATTGCTCCTGGAAAGAACATGTCAATAAGCTGTTCTATGGATCAGCTCACCATCCGTGTGACTCCCCAGACCAAAACTCCATTCCCTGGTCACCAGGGAATGACTTTGTCAGCCTTTATTAGAATGTAAATTTCTTAAGAAACAAAAACTGTCCCCCTTTCTTCTGACTCCCAGGCAGGGTGCTCTGTCTACACTGGACCACCCAACCCTCAGCACTTAGCAAAGAGCCTGGTACATAGTAAGTGCTTAATAAGTGTCGTATATATTATATATAATATATATTATATATATATATATCATGTATATGTAATATATATATAAATTCTTCTACATTGCATAAATTTCTCCTTTTATGTCTCCCCCTCACCCCTCCCCAGAGGGCCATTTCATATAACAAAGAATATTTTTAAAGAAAAAAATAAAAAGAGGAAGAAAAGAAAAATTTAGCAAAACCAGTAAATGAAAAAAACGCAAAAACATTTGCAAAGTTACACATCCATGGACCTCCCACCTCTGCAAAAGAATATGGGAAAGTGTGGTCTTATATCTCTTCTTTGGGGCCATGCTTTTTTTTTCTTTTTTTTTTAAATTCTGCAACATTCACCTTTAGGTGGGGGTTGGGTGGGTCACACAGACACTAAACATCAGCCGCATCTTGGTCTCTGGACAAAATTCAGCAGAGGGGTTTCTACACAGTCTAAGAAACATCAGAGTGTGATATGGTCCCTGGACCACATTCCTTCTTAGAAGAGTTTTTCAGGAGCTTCGGTTCTCCAGAGATATGATGTACTTTTTTGGACCCTGCTCCTTCAGGGCCAAGAAGGTTCTTCAAGATGGAGTGACTCCCAGGAGAAGGCAATGAATACTGTTTTGTGTTCTATGTTCAATGCATGCTTTTTCACTCATTCTACTAAAAAATAAATCTCTCTTTTTTTTCAAAAATCACTTGCCCCTCCCTCCATTCCCCACACTCTCTTCTGTCACAAAGTTGAACCAACCCAATAAGTATTTTGTAAAGGCTAGGCGCCACTATAGGCCCCATCCTTAAAGAGTTTACACGTTAACTCCACCCTCTCCTCTCACACAGTTTTCAATGTTGCATAGCTGGCTTTTCTTTCAGTCAAGTTGTACCAGCCCAAGTTTCATTCTCTGAAATCAGACAAAGTGAAGGACTTCACAAGACTTCACCCCCACAATACCTCCCTCTCACTCCTCCCCCTTCCCCCCATCTGCATGACTAGCTTAGAGCCTCTACTTTCCACTGGGAGGGATAGAAGTAGTTGGCAAGACAAGAGACCAATCCCTTTTTGACCGGACTGACCTCACCATGGAAACCAAATAAGACTGCCTTGCACTGAGACTCGGTGTTCTGCCTCCCTTTCCCCAGGTTATCATTAGATTGATGAAGTTATCTGCACGCTGAGGCAGCTCCACTAAGCTCCTCGCTCTCACTGAGCAGAATCAGGCATCATCGGGGCCTTAGAGAGTTTAGGGGCCAGGAGACTGAAACTCCTCAAATTTTGCAATCCTCCCTCCTCTTCCCCCAGTCACATTCCAAGGATGAGGATTCATCAGCTTCTGATTAGGTTTCCACAAGGACAGGAGGGAAGGGAGATCTTTCAGAAGGAATTGGGAAATGAAATTCAATGGAGTCCTCCCACATTGCCCAAGGATCCCTCAGACTAGAATGAACAGGTCTACTGTTCCAAGTCCTTCCCCTTCTTTCCTGTCCATTACCCCATCCCTATTCTTCCTTCACTTTACTGGAAACACCGGCCAGGGTGACTCATGCCTGAGTTCCCTCCAAATCATTAGCCTATAGAACCGATGGAGAGGAATTTCTATACACACCCTTCACATATACATGCAGATTTGAAACGCTATCAGATTAGTTCATTGTGGTCAATAGAACCCTGGATTTAGAGTGAGAAAGATGTATTTGAATCCTGTCTAAAATACTTACTGGCTGTGTAACCCCGGGCAAGTCACTTAACCTCTATTTGCCTCAGTTTCTCCATCTGTAAGGTAGGGATAATAACACCAGCTATCTCTCGGGGTTGTAGTAAGGATCAAATGAGATTTGTAAAGCATTTTGCAAACCTTAAAGTATTATAGAAGTGCTAGCTTTTATTATTATGTTTTGGGGCAAGCTAGATGGCACAGCGAATAGAACACTTAGGCCTGGAGTCAGGAAGACTCATCTTCGTTAGCTCAAATCCAGCCTCAGACACTTCCTAGCTGTGTGAACTTGGGCAAGTCACTTAACCCTGTTTGCCTCAGTTTCCTCATCTATAAAATGAGCTAGAGAAAGAAATGGGCAAACCTCTCCAATACCTTTGCCAAGAAAACCCCAAATGGGGTCACAGAGAATTGGACACGACTGAAACAACTCAACAACAACAAAAATTATTGTTTTACACATATACATGCTCCTGTGAGCTTTGACACACATTCCCACATGTGTGCCAGTGCCCTCCCACAAACTTTCACAAATAAGGTGACACACAAACTCTTCTTCAATTCCTACACAACATTTAAGTATACAATAACAAGTATACAATCATTCCTTTTTTTTCTTCCCTTATGGACAATTTCCCTTTTCTCCTGCTTCCTATCTTTCTCACCATTTTACTCCAGCCCCTTTAATTAATTGCAATTGAAATGCTTCTGGAAATTTAAAA